GCCATCTTGGCCCTGTTGGACAGAGACATGATTACAACTGTTTCAAAATGAAAATATCTCACGAAAACCTTGACCGCAGCCGCGGTCAGTTGAAGTACGCAGCCACGCCTACCGCATGTTAGGGATTTTGCGTGTGGGCAATGAGTCATGCACTGGGTTACTTGCTACTTGGAGGTAAAGAAAAAATTGTAACAAAAACTTTTCATTATTCGACTCGGTCGTACATGTCAATGGAGGAAAATGGATGCAATCACTCTTCAGAAATACCGGGTTTTCAAAATCTCAGAAAAATGCGTTCATTCAATTGTTCGGAACTAATCTGACGAATATTCAAGAGAAAGCTGAAGCTAGGCCGCAAACTTGCACTGCAAAGCTCAGAACCAACCCTAGCCAGACGCATGTGGTTTTCAAAGGCCGAGAAAAAGACTCACTGAGGTTTTCGTTCAGGAAGTAAGTTTCATTATTGTCTCCGTTGGTTATTCATGAAGTTTCACATTGAAACCAAGCTGTCAGTTCCATGGGCAGGGTAGGTACAGGAATAGTAGCGGATAAAGAGAGGCGCAGAGTACGTTACAATTTTCAAGCAACTACATTCATTCAACTTCTTTTTGCACGCACACTGCTCATATGAGCTTGAGCAAATTCAGGAAGTATGGTGCTAGCAAGAAAAACCTTTTAACTCTTACTTTCTCTCGAACTTTTCCTACACATCTTCAGGTATCAAAGTAAGGCAGACGACGACCTTTTCCTCTTTCTTAATTAATATCCTTGGCACCTACCAAATGACGCCTCAGGAATCATATGGGAAGTCAATAGAGAGGGGATAATTACATGACAACCAGTATAAAGTTTGAAACTATACGAAACAAATTCCTTTTAATTACGTCATCAAACTTCTCCTGCAAACATCCTGCGGTCGTTCAAACTCATCTAACATTAAAGGAAGCACGAAAAATTAGCTGGTTACTTGACTAATTGGAAGTACTCTGAGGAATGCAGAAGGAAGTCATCGTGGGAATCCTTTGCTCAGAATCATCACTATGCAATCCAATATGAAAGATGAATTTTGAACAGCGACTGCTGCATGAGCGAGGCGGTCGAAAATCCAAAGGAACAGCTGATTCGCGTCAAAGGTTGAAATATTGCCAAAAAGAAAAAGTTTCTGATGAATTGCAATGGCAAAAATCATCGAATAAGCATGCAGAGAACCTTTTTATCACTACTAGTATTTGGGCCTAGCCCTATTTAGCCTTAGCCCTAGAAGTTTTGAAGCGTTGCGGTGCAAGCTACCTCAGCCATCCTAGGTCTGAGCAGTTCTACAGTGAGCAACATTAGTCTCTATTTCAGGTAGGTGTCGGAGCGGCTGAGGTGCAGCACAGAGGTGGGCGGAGAACAAGTCCCGTTGAACATGAGCTTAGCCCCTCCCAAAAATTAATGGTTATTTCAAGCAATAGGAGATTGCGTTTGGTTGGCATGCAATACATAAGCAATGAGAGTCTCAAGGTGGTCATACTAAAATCTCGCCTTTGATCTTAAAGCGCCACTTGTTGCTGCTGAAAAAGGTACAGCTGAGCACACAGCTGGTCAACTGACTATAACTTGGACAGACGCAACATCTGTATCCAATTACTCTCGGAAATCACTCGCTTCAAAGATCAGTGTGGAGGTGAGGCTCTACCTATGGATTAGCTGAAGGTTATCACTTCTGGACCGTTGGGGATAAGTTTCACTGTGCTAGGAAAGAGGTGATCTCTAATAAGAGTATAGGCTGGCTACCAGGTGATCATTTTTATGCAAAGGAGAAGTTGTAGGTAACGGTAGATAATGCTCAAGAAATATATGACAACATTATCGAAGATGCTCCCGTCGTTTTGCCTTGATTGCGGCGAGGGTAGATCGAGGGGCGTGGTTCCCCTCGAGGAGAAATATGACCCCACAACATCGTCGTTCAGGGAGAGGCGAAGTGGTACAAAAAGATCTGTTCAACCGAAAATTTTGCACTATTTACCCTTTACTCCATCCGAAATCAGGCCAG